TTTGTGTGATTGAACCTTGCTAAAATTAGACAAATGCATTTCAAATAGTTTAGATTTGATTTATTTTGTCAGAAATATATTATACAGGGTGTCAAAAAAATGGTGTATCTTACTTCTATGGGTGATTCTACAGGTAAAAATAAAACCAAAAGTTCCTTTGAACATAATATGCCCTAAAAAGATTAAATAAAAATAATATATTTTGTTTTTTCCATAGCAACTGTTAAAATTGCCTTATATATATCAAAAATCGTAGATAAAATAGTACTTTAACCGTAAGGGTCGATTAAATGATACTTTAACAGCGAGGATTGGTTAAAAACTTATTATTAACTATTTCTTCTCGCACGTTTTTTAATTGCTTCCATTTTTGAAAATTTTTGTATTCCTTTTCATAAGTTATTCGGGATTTAAATGGAAGTAGTTTGAATATGGCGTTTGTCGCCTCAGCCTGAATATCTGTTGGTAATTTACGTATTTCGTTTTGAGCCATTTCTGGCTCCAATTCAATCAGCAATCGACACGAAAGAGAATTAAAAAATATTGACTCAAAACTGACAACTAAAGAGACAGCTTTATTAATTTGTCAAATTACATAAAAACCAACGCCAACCCAGCACAATATTTTTTCTACTCGTAATAAATTCCTCGAAATAATAATTTCTGAATATTTTTTAAACCGTAACTCGCTATGGAAAAAAATATTATTTTGAACATGACGATAAAATTGCATTATCGTCTCCCGAAATTAATTCACTCGCGATAAAATTCGGTCGACGATAAAATACCATTTTATCGTCTTGTATTGTAACGTCTTGGTTTCGATGCATCGTAATCTTTAAACGCAAGTATCTTGAAAACCGTTTACCTTTTCGAACTAAACAAAGAACACCTGTTTTACGTAAAACAGTTATATATTATATATAATAATTATATATATTATTTATATTATTTGTTGAAATTACTGTATCTATAAGGATAAAAGAAGTACTACCAGTAGTACTATCTACCCTATTGGAAAGTATCCTTTCAGGACTTTTACGGAATTTTTCACAATAGCCATTCGCTTTTAGTACCAAGTATTAGGAAAAACGGTTTACCAATGTTCTTAAAAATAAACAACAAAATATATTATTTTTATTTAACCTTCCGAGGGCTGTAACTTCTAGGAGAAGCATTTCAGGGCATATGTTTATAGGAATTTTTTGTTTTTTTTATCTGTAGAATTACCCACTGAAGTTAGATACACTATTTCTGACACCATACGTAATGTAAACATTACATCATTTCAATTTTCAATTTCAAAAGTACTTTATTGTTTAAAAAATATACAAATTTTTGTTAACAAAGCATAAATATTTCTAAATCTAAACCTAAAATAAAAAAAAATTGTGTAAATATAAGATAGAAATACATCCATTTAAACAACAAACAGTATTCAGAAAAATAGGTGTAAACAATTAAGTAAAATAACATATACAATATACAGAATAAAGAGAAAATTAACAATAACGCTAAAAAGAATAAGTCAGACTAACAAGCAATTCTAGACTCTAAACACTAATATCAAAGGGAGCCCCGGTAGGAATTCGTCAACGCTGTAAAATGCCCTATTTAAAAAGTTCCTTTTCAGTAGTCTCCGGAAGGTTTTTATGGAATTAACCAATCTTAAAGCAACCGGCAGATGATTAAAGATCTTTCGGCCCTCATATATTATAGATCTTTTGACCAATGTGCTATTTGGAAGTGGTAAGGGCAGATTCAGGGTTTGGGGGGTAACAATATTGGGTATAGGACCCTGTAGTCTGATACGATTTTTAAAAATAAGGGATGATGTTTCCAGAATAAAAAGACATGGTAGTGTAAGAATTTTTTGAGCTTTGAAGTGTTGTCTCCAGGATTCGTTAAGTGGTACATTTACAATAAATCGTACGGCCTTTTTTGTAAAATAAAAGAATGTTTAGTAGACCCTTATTAGCCACACCCCAGAATGGTATTCCATACCGTAGGTGAGACTCAAACAAACTAAAATAGACCGTCCTTGCCACTTGTGAACCTAGTTCTTCCTTAATTGCCCTAACAGCAAAGCATCCAGAAGACAACTTGCCACTTAAGGCCAGAATATGGTCTTCAAATCGCAGATTTCTATCAATAATAATTCCTGGGAATCTAGTCGCAGGAATTCCTGCAAGCAAACCCCCCTCGAAATGTAGATTTGCGATGTCACACCTAAGCCCAACAACATGCGTTTTGGATAAATTTAAGCAAAGGTGATTTGAGTTAAACCACGTTCTTTAATGAAGGATAAGTCCTTGCTTATGATTCCCTTAAGATGCTCAATGTCCTTGGCCTGCCATAGTATTGAAGTGTCATCTGAAGGGTCATCATTATATTATTTCATATTAGTTTTACTCTAGTTAGACAAATTTGGAGATAAAATGGCTTTAAATCTACTTGAAAACACTTTATTAGTATAGAATAAATTCGCCTTTATTGAACTCCTATTGAAAACAATCAAATATTCTCATATTTAATTTTTTTATTCATAATTTATTAAGACCTGAGACGCATTTCTTTGTTATTTTCTTATACGTGAGAAGCATGTATTAAAATGTTTTTTTAATAACATTATATTGCTATAATTAACTGATATCAATACCATCATTGTTTTATATCTTAATATGTCATTAATATATATTTTTTTTATATCACAGTAGGCGTAAAACGATACTTGCGTTCCACATTTGCCATGTTTATTACTCCTTGGTAGTAACAGCTAACCGTAAATTATTTTATAGTCTAGTTTTGATCATAAATTGTTCAAATAATTAAAAACTTTTTTTATATGTTTTTTTTTTGTTATAGGATCACATTGCGCTATAATATAGGTTAATACCTTATCATAAAGAATACAAATTATTATATATAACTAGCTGTGTTTTGTCATATAAATATTTTTTATGGGCCCAAACCAAACCAAAACAGTCATTATTATTCACGGGGTTGAAAATTATTGAATTACTAATATCGCTATTAAAAAATTGAGGTTGATGGTAGAAGGGTGAAAATTTAGTGTTTTATATATTTTTAATGGCACATCTAAAAAATAAAATAAAAACTTTGTCCAAAAAATAAAAATTAAAAGTTGGGGTGGACCACCCTTATCACTTAGGGGTAAAAAAATAGATATCAACCTATTCTCAGACGTACTTAACATACATATCAAATTTCATCAAAATCAGTCAAGCCGTTTTGGACAAATTTGGTAACTAAAATTATTAAAAAAACAAACCCTATTAAAAAATAGGGATTGACAGTAGAAGGGTGAAGATTTAGGATTGTATGTATTTTTTAATGTCACATCATAAATAAATAAAAAAAATTGTCCAAAACATAAAAATAAAAATTGGGATGGACCTCTTTATCAGTAAGGGTATAAAAAATAGATAACAACCTATTCTCAAACCTACTAAATATAGGTACCTACAAAATGTTATCAAAATCGGTCAAGCCGTTTCAGAGGAGCATGGTAACAAAAATTGTGACACGAGAATGTTATACAGGGTGGTCCGAACTGTATTCCGGAAACTTCGGCAGCATATTCTGCAGATAAAAATAAATAAAAAAAGTCGTATAAATGTATGTCCTAAAATGCTTAGTTTCGGAGATACAGGGAGTAGAAATTTCATTTTTATTTCGATTTTTTCCAAATAATTTATAAAGTAGTATCAATATTTCGATGAAAATGGGTGTCTGGGAGTTTTTTAACATAAGAAATTAGATTTTGACGTAAACATGACTTCTACTTGTAGAAGGCGCCTTTTTGCACCATAAAAAAAATAAAAATTTCCCAAATTTAATATTTCAGTGAAATAACTATCTAGTCAACGTGTTTATTTTTCGTCAATCATGACATGTATTGACTATTTCCATTCTAAATATCTTAAGAACGGTTGCTCGTTTTACAAAGGAATATTTTTTACGTAAAAAGTCACAGAGATGTATATTTTTTCACTCGGTAGTTTTATACAGGTACGGACAAAAAGTTATTACGCTTCAAAACAGTTAAAACACAAGTAGGTGGCGCCCTCTACTAGTAGGAGTCATATTGACATCAAAATCAAATTTCTCATGTCAAAAAACTCCCAGACACCAATTTTCATCCAAATATTGACGTTACTTCAGAAATTATTTGGAAAAAATCGAAATAAAAATGAAACTTCTACACTCTGTATCTCCGAAACTAAGCATTTTAGGACATACATTTATAAGAAGTTTTTTACTTCTTTTTATATGCAGAATTTGCTCCCGAAGTTTCCGGAATACAATTCAGACCACCCTGTATACTACACCTAAAAATATTTGCACTTATTTAAGACTCACCCTGTATATTTCTTATGGCAATAAAGAATACCAACGACAAAATTAATAATAAAACCTACAACCACATTCACAAGTGTGTTATCAAACATCAAGTCCAAACAGATAGAAGAACACAATGTAAAAATAAAAAAAAACGTATAGGGTGTCCCATTTTGCTTGAAATCATACGGTATCTTCGTTATAAGTAAAGATAGGAGGATGCGGTTTGCACAAACTTATCCTACTTTTTTGTCAAACGGAAGATGCTGGAAACTAAGCATTTTGGGACCTACATTTATACGAACTTTTTTGGTTATTTTTATCTGCAGAATATGCTGCCGAAGTTTCCGGAATACAATTCGGACCACTCTGTATATTAGACATTTAATGATACATGTCAGTTAATTATATCAAGACAATGCCTTTCTAAAAAGATATTTTAAATTTTTTTTAAACAATAATACACAAATGTTTTTTTCTGGTTAAAAATTATCTTTGCTTATTCCAAAGCACATTGTCTGCTATTTTATGTTACTTTTGAAAGATGTCTTTAAAGAATTCAAATATGCTTTTATATGGAAAATGTACATTCAAAACAAAGTTGATACTTCAAAGTAAGTTTGTCTTGTTTGTTACAGGTCAATAAGGAACACGAGAGGAAGTCAGCATACAGTTATGATTGCGGTTGTTAAGAAAAGGTATGTAATAGAAACATGTTGTATTGTTTGTGTTTGTATGAGAGAACTTTTGAAGCAAAAATACCCAATTTTCCGTTTCTTAGCAAACCGAGTTGAGAGAAATTTCGTTGATTTTGGTTTGAAATAGCTTAATCAAAAAGCTATTGAAGTTTTAACCAATTTCTTGGTCAAAGCCTTATGTCCAATTTCAAAATAAAACACAATCACGAAATGCAATCCAAAAAAAGTTTTATAAAGATTTAAAAAAAATAGTTCTAAGATGAAAACATGAAATGAGGAAACTGTAAAAAGAAACTTAAGCGCATAAAATCAAAATTTTCTATTATAAAAGAAATATTTTAAAGATGTATTTTTTAAGTTTTTAAAAAGCCAAGTTTTTCTGTAGTTAAAACATGATTTGTCCTCATTTTTTAAATTTTATCAAAAAAAAATATTATTTTCCATATTTTTTGACGAGGAATCAGCTCCTGAAATTTAGCCGTGCATTTTTCGTACACCCTGTCTACAGGATTGCGTATTCTCGAAATGTCATTAAATAACCATAAATTCTGTAATTTCTATTTTACAGTGCATTTGAACGGGACGATATAACCATAACTTCCCTTTTGGAATCTGGATTTAATAGGGTACGTAAATATTATATTTTTACTGTAATATACAAGGTGTCTCAGAAATAAGTGCAAGTATTTTAAGGGTTGGTTGATCTGGTCGAAAGCAACATCTGCTCTATTTACCATTTTTAAAATAAATTAAATATAGCCAAGATATTTAACTTTGAAAATTTACCGAATTTACAGAATTGCTGAATTTTTAACAAGAACAGAACGTCTTTGCGTCTTAACATCGTATGCGTCTCGTCTAGCGTCGGACGTTCTGCACAGTCACTTGTTACTAACTCTACTGCCGCATGCTGTGCTTTGCGCGTCTTCCTCTCTGCGTGCATCCTCGGCGTGATTCTACTATTGCGTCATTCTTGTCTATTCCTTGTTATACAGGGCATATTACAAATTTTGATGAATTCTATAATATGCCCTGAACGAATTAAACGACTGGAAATATTTAGTAATATGGCGAAAAAAGAAACTGCATTAAGAGTTAAGGTTTCTTTTTTCAATTTACTCATCTGTAAAAAAGTTATTTAAAACAGTGAGAGTTTCTCTAGAATTAGTAGTAATCTAAACTGATATAAATAAAGTTATTTTGCGTATTATTGTTTAGCAACTCACTCACAATTTTATTTGAAACTTACGATTGAGAATCAAAAATTCAAACTCATTAAGATATTTTACTGTGAAAATGTAAAAAAATTATTTTTCGCTTAAACTTTGAGAACCAGTGGATCTTGTCTGGGTTTTGTTCATTGTCGATTGAATCTACTATCTATATTTTCACTTTATGAAGATATTGTTTTTTAACGAAACTAAAAATAAAAAAAATTCTAAAAATTCCAAATTATCAGTTTTTTTTTCGCAAAAAAACTTCATAGATGTGTTTCTGGGGTCGAACTATACTACCCCAACAAATATTTGCATTTATTTAAGACTCACCCTGTATACAAAAGCGAAATTTTTGCGTCATATTCTAGGAAAATAATATACCGATTTGGTCATCGAAACTGCGTGGTCTGGATTTTAACGTGTTAGACAGTGATATAGATAGCTTAATGAAAAATCAAATGTATTAAAAAGAGATTAAAATTGGATCGATACATTTCTTCTATGCGGTATTGCCGGATTTTGCATCGAAATTTCAAACCGCACAAGTAGGCGTTTACGAAAAATGTTGCATCTAGGGTAGGAATTTTATTTTTAAACTTTATTAGCTACTCATTTTATTACAGCTGTAATAGCTACTTACAGCTGTTTAGCTTAGATATATTATCTTCAATTAAGTAGTATACACGAAAGTGTTTAAAATAGCTTATATTTTTCTACACACATTTTCCTACAAATGTAAAAAACCGGCAACCCTGTATGCTGCTTTTGATTTTGTCTCTGTCTGTCAACCGGTCATTTATATTTTTCTCTCTCACACGCATTAAAGTTCAGACCATATAGTTTGGATGACCAGCAGGGTATAAACCAGTAAAACTGAATATTAGAAAATATATATTCTATTCTAAGTTAGAATGTATTTTAAAATATAAACCATTGTTACTAAAGGCAGGCTGTCTAGACAATGCGAACAAATCCTACACCCCATATACGCTTGCATTATCATTTACAATTGTAATTCATATTTTATGTACCATGCGTGCTGTAACTCTGCACTACCAAGTTACTAATGAAGTCAAAGGGAGTAATTTTCCTGTTTATTACCCCTGCATTTTTAGAGGTTTCATAAAATCGTCCAATTTCTTAAATATCCCTATAAAATATCGCTCCCGAAGCTCTGGCCGTAAAACTTCATTGCCTCATTAGTCGGTTATACGAGATGGGTTTTAGGGTTTCATTAAAATAGTTTGCTTAATGAAATGATTTATTCTTATTTTAATACTGGCAATTTATTTTATTAACGCAATATAATATGTAGGTTTATTAATATTTTAAATATTATAACAAAATATTTTGAGGTTAATTTTTTTAAAGTACTGATTTTATTTTGTAAAATTTTTCACATAAAATTATCTTGAAAATAAGGGCAACTTTCCAAGAAGTATCTGTAAAATTATACTAGTTATGTTATCTTATTAAGCATAATATTAGGCATGTTATTAAAGTGAAACTATAAAATACCGGGTGGGCGTCTCAAAAGTGGCTCACACCTATAATTTTTTTATTTTTTCAGATAAAAAAACGAGATTTGATATGTTAGTATATGACATAAATTAGGATTGATTGACGTATTCAATTCTTTTCGGCCACTTCCTGTTTCACCGGAAGTGACTAGAACTTTTGATTTTTAAATGACACCTTCGGTATTTTTTGACTTTATTCGATAGAAAATGTCACTCTGAATTGAATGAGATGTCATATGTCAACTTTTGATATTATTGCTTAAAACAAAATTAGATTTTAAATTTCCATCTAGAGTCCATGGCTGTGTTCTTCTTCTTCTTCTTCCTTCTTGATACTAGGCGAATCGCCTGTTTGGTTTCGTCGTCTCTACCGGTCAGACTGACAAGTTGTCGCTCCATCGTTTACGTGGACGTCCTAAGCTTCTGCGACCTAGCGGTGATTTGTCGCGTGCAACTCTCACTATCCTTCTGTTGTCCATTCTGCTGATATGCTCGTTCCATTCTTCCTTTCTGCTGAGTACCCACTCATTTACATTTTCCACCTTGCACGCTCTTCTTATGCTTTCATTTCTCTCCCTGTCCAGAAGCGTCTTTCCAGCTATTCTGCGTAGTACTCTCATTTCGGTTGTTTCTAGTAGTTGTTTAGTTTTCGCTGTATCAGGTCGCGTTTCTGCAGTGTATGTCTATTGGTCGTACCGTTGTCTTGTAAATTCTCGCTTTAGTCTCCACCTCAATGTTTTTATTTCGCCATATTGTATCATTCAGGCATCCTGCTATTGTGGTTGCCTTCGTTGTCCGTTCTCGCACCTCCGCTTCTACATCACCATATCCTGAGATTTCTATGCCTAGATACTTAAACTTCATCTCTTGCTGAATAACATTGCCCTCGACTTCCAGTTTGCATCTTACTGGTACTTTTGATGTCGTCATGCATTTAGTTTTCTGTGTCGATATTATCATATTAAGTGATTTGGCAGTGCAATTAAATCGATGTAATAAGCGCTGTAGATCGTTCTCATTTTCAGCTACCAATACGGCGTCATCGGCATAGCATAGAATAGTAATTTCCTGGTCGCCCATACTGTATCCCTTCAGTAAACGTACATTTCCTATTATTTCGTCCATAATCATGTTGAAAAGAAGAGGGCTCAGGGAGCCACCTTGTCGGATACCACAGCCTACATTTATTGGTTCGGTCAGGACCCCGTTAATTTTAGCTTGAATTTGGTTCGCTTCATATATGTTTTGTATGGTTTTAACGAGTTTGTGTGGGATTTGCCTATTGTAAAGAAGGTGTACAACGTCTCTTAGCTGCACACGGTCGAACGCTTTTTCTAAATCAATAAAACACATATACCCTGGTTTGTTATATTCGATTGATTTTTCTGTTATCTGTTTTATGACAAAAACCGCGTCTGTGCATGATCTGCCCGATCTGAAACCTTGCTGTTCATCTGCTAAGCATGTTAAGTCGTTTATTTTGGTTGTTATCACTTTTGTCGTAAGTTTTAGTGTGGTGCTTAGAAGATTTATGCCTCCATAGTTTGAGGGCAGCTTCTTATCTCCTCTTTTGAACATCAAGATAGTGGTGCTGGTTCGCCATTCATCGGGAATCCTGTGTTGGTAAAGAATTTTTTGAATCAGGGATGTTAGCTGCAGGGTTAGCACAGGGATGGCTGTGTTGAAAACACTAATTTTTAATCAACGCATTGGAAAAATAGATTTGATTGTCTAATGTTTTAGTGTTTTATCCTGGCCGGTTAAAAGATGCCCAAATCGTATTTTTAATCATATCTCAATTTTTTCAAATAAAACGAGAGTGGCTCTTTAATATACTTGGAAAAAGTATTTTTTTACGAATAATTTTACGAAAACTTGGTATTTCGAGTCAAATTTTCAAATAAGCCATATTCGAAAATATTGAAAGTTGACATATGATATGTCATTCTATTGATAGTGTCATTTTCTATCGAATAAAGTAACAAAATACCGAGGGTGTCATTTAAAAATCAAAAGTTATAGTTATTTCCGGTGAAAAAGGAAGTGACCGAAAACAATTCAATACGTCAATCAATCCTAATTTATGTAATATACTAAATATCGACTTTTTATCAGAAAAAAATAAAAAAGTTATAGGGGTGAACCACTTTAGAGACGCACCCGATATACTATAAAAAAATTATCATATTACTTTCAGAATATATGTAATATTCTTTGTATTTTATTACAAAAGTAGAACAATTAAAAATAAATAATATTTTTATGTGTATTAATATAACTTTTTGATCTACAGAGTGATATTTTTTTTTTAAATCAAATTTAATCGGCCTAAAATAATTGGTACCCACTGCGTTTTCTTCGAGAAAACATTTTTTTTATGATTGTCAATACAATTTTAATAAAAATGATTTCTTGAAATTATTACATTGAACTGGTTTTAATAAAAATTAAAGCACATCTCAATGTTCATGTATGCTCGTTTTCTAGCAATTTTGAGGTGCAATGTAGTTGATTTTTTTTTTCGAAAACTGTTTGATGTTCAAGAAAAACTCAAGAGATTAAAGCTTAGATTAACTAATTATAACGTTCTGAATGCTTATATTGAAATTAAAGAAACAAACTTCTACGCTAATTGAAACCACTAATTTATTATACTAATTGCGAGGTTCTGAATGAAGCTTAATCTTGTTAAAAAATGATGAATAATCAAGAAAAAAGTTTTCTCGAAAAAAGCAGTGGTTTACCATTTATTTCAATCAAATAATCCAGGGTTGTGTTCGTATGGACACCACTGGTTCAAGTAGAAAAGCAACATTTCCTTTATACCTGGAAACCACATACCTAAATTGAAGATGAATATATTTATATTATTATAGATTTAATATCAAA